CACACCTTGAGTATCATTATTGCTGAGAGTGTGCTTGGTGTTGCTGTGTTTACCTTCTAGTGCTCACCTAGCTGTCACCCTTCCAGTCATAGTGTTTAGGTCTTTGGATGTTGGAGCTGTGTTTGTAGGTTCATGTACATTATAACTCAAATAATGGTATAATGTACTTTTTTTTGTGTTTCTGGGCTTGTTTGCCTGTGCTCGTCTTCAGTTTTTTTTTTTTTTTTCTTTTTATTGTGCTTTAGGTAGAAGTTTACAGCTCAAGTTAATTTCTCATTCAAAAATTTGTACACATATTGTTTTATGACATTGGTTGCAATCCCCACAATGTGACAGCACGCTCCCCCTTTCCCCTAACCACCCTGGGTTCGCTGTATCCATTCAACCAGTTCCTGTCCCTTCCTGCCTTCTCGTCCTGCTTTTGGACAGGAGCTACCCATTTGATCTCATATATTTCATTGAACTAAGAAGCATGTTCCTCGCGTATGTTATTTTTTGTTTTATAAGCCTGTCTAATCTTTGTCTGAAAATTGGGCTTTGGGAATGGTTTCAGTTTGGGGTTAGCAGCATGTCCGGGGGGCCATAGTTTCGGGGTTCCTCTAGTAAGAGTTACTTTTATTTTTATTTTCTTGTCTTTTTTCTCCTCCATTTTTATCTGTAGAAGATTTTTAATGCAAATCAAATGTAACCAAAGGTGTCATCCACGAGAGTATTCTTCATTACTTTCATTTCAATATTAGATCCATTAAATTGAACTTCCTTTCTACTCACTAGTTGGTAATGTATAAATCAAGTCTTCTCCAACTCCAAAAGGATAATAAAGAAAAGTGACTTTAACTTGAACTTTTAATTTACATTCATTTAAAGGTATTAATATTTCATATTCTCTCCTAATTTTAGGTAAATATTCTGGATGTAGCCATGAAGGATATCGTAAACTCTGATATCCCACTTTTACGCCAGTCTGTACCAGTTCAGCCTTCACATTGCATTCTCTGTACATCTGCTTTTTGGCTTCTTAGAGACCTTTAAAGGGTTTTTTTTTTAGTTTTATTTTTTTTTTATTTCTTTCCCTTTCCTAGCCCCTCTTCTTGCCCTCTCCAGTCTGGACCCTAAGGTAGCCTTCATAGCTCTCTCCATTCTCTTGCATCCAATCCTTCTCCGCCATCTGTCTACTGAAACAATAGCCCTGGATAAGTGCTTTATTCTGTTTTCTCCCCCTATCCTCAAGTGATATAAACTGGAGAGAATTCTGGAACTGTGCAGGTTGGGGCCATGACAAATTAATGTTCCCTAACCTCACCCACATTTCCAAACATTAGAGAGCTTCTAATTAACTACTCAATGCCCACCCCATCATTTTCAGCTGTTGACTTTGTCTCTTGCTTCATCAAGAAAATTCAACCCATCACACATGTCCTGTGTTTATCTTCTATTGGCACATTTATACCCACACTATTTTGCTACCTTTACTACAATCTGGAATGGGGATGGGGGATTTCAGTTCAAGGCCATTATCTCTACCTATGCACTTGACCCCTTTCTGTCTGCCTCTTCCAGGGAACTTCTAATATATCCTTCTCTTTCTTTCCAATATCTTATATTTCTCCCTCTTCACTTGCTCCTTTCTTTCTACTTTATCTCTTTAGGTACAGTTCAGATTCTTCTCATCTAAATAAATACATAAAAAAGAACATTTCCTTTACACCTCTATTTACTCCGCAAACAACTTCCATGTGCATTTTGCCGTCTCTAATCTATTGAAAGCGCTAGTGTGAAGGTTGCTGATGAGCGACTCGTGTTAAATCCAGCTGGTGCTTTTTAGATCTTAACTTCTTCGATTCCTCTGCCCCATTTAATCGTGTTGATGCTTCCTTAAATATTCTTTCCTTGTCTTCCAACATACCATTAACACCTCAGTGTCTGCTAATTTATAGATTCTCCAAAAGGACCCACTTCTCTCCTCATTGCACATATTCTGCACAGACCATGGCATTCCCATTGTTGTATTCCTCTATCCGTATGATGAGGGACTCCCGTCTCTGAACTTTTAGCCTATTCCTCTCACCAGAATTGAAAACTTGTTTATTTAACTCTCTGTTTCACTTTTTATATACCCAATGGTACCACAAATTCAAAAAGCTAAGATGAAGCTCTTGGTTTCTCTTTCCTGTCCAAGCCAGTTCCTCCTGCTGTATTTACTGCTTTAGTAGAATCATCAACCACTCAGTCAAGCGAGACGAAAACTTGGAGGGCATCCTTGACCTTCCCTTCTCCCTCCCTCAGTAACATGTCCAATTCACCCTTTATTCTCTTTGGTAATAATGGATCTTTCCCTCATCTTCTCCACCCCCACTGCTGCAATCTATCCCCTTCTTGTCTTACTTGGGCTGGTGAAGCAACATTCCAAATAACTACTTTGCCTATAAACTGACCTAGTGGACATCCATCCTCCACACAACCTCCAGATTCATCAATATAAAACATATTCTGACTGTGTCATCCTTATATTTCAAGTCCTTCAATACAGTGGTGCTAGATATGGTAAACTACATATGTGATAAAATTATATAGAAATAAACACAGCCACAGAGATGACTACAAGTCAAACTGAGGAAATGTGAATAAGATTGGTGGGCTGTATTCATATCAGTATCCTGGTTATAATATTGTACTATAAGTTTACATGACTTATCATCGGGTGAAACTGGATAAAGATTACGTGGGATCTCTCTGTATTCTTTCTTCCTTTTTACTTTTTTTACTCTTTATTTTTTATTGTTATACTATTTCTTATAACTACATGTGAATCTACAATTTTCTAAAAATAAGAGCTTTAATTTTAAAAAATTCTTGAAGAAATATTCTTCACTAACATAAGCATTGAAGTGTTCAACTTTTTTTTTTTTTTAATAGCATGTAAGTCTCTACTTCCCTCTCCAGCTTCATCTCCCCGTATTCTTTGCCCAGGATTTTTGCAGTGTAGTAATATAGGGTTGCTTGTCATTTTCTAACATACGTCAAGAGATTTTTCCACTTAGTACTTTCTTTATGCTGTTTTCTTGGCATAGAATACCCACTCCATACCATTAAAAATAACAGTTGCCTTCCAGTCAATTCTGACTCACGGTGACCCCATAAGTGTCAAGGTAGAACTGTGCTCCATAGGATTTCCAATGGCTGATTTTTCCAAAGTAGATCGCCAGGTCTTTCTTTCAAGGCGCCTGTGGGTAGACTTGAACTTCCAACCTTTGCACCATTCAGGGACTCCTTCATACCAATAGCCCTTATCTAATTAAAATTTAATTTAAGGGTTCTTTCTTGAGCTCTTAGATTATATAGTTCTTTTTTTGTATTTTAATGGTGCTATACATATTGTTGGAGCCTTGGTGGCATAGTGGCTAAGAGCTTGGGTGCTAACTAAAAGGTCAGCAGTTCGAATCCACCAGCCGCTACTTAGAAACTCTATGGGGCGGTTCTACTCTGTCCTATAGAGTCACTATGAGTCGGAATCAACTTGATACCAATGGTTTGGGGTTTTTTTTTGGTTTGATACATTTTGTTAGGAGTCCTGGGTGGCACAAATGTTTAAGGACTCGACTACTAACCAAAAGATTGGCAGTTCGAACTCACCCAGAGGTGCCTAGAAGAAAGTCTTGGTGATCTACTTCTGAAAAAATCAGCTATTGAAAACCCTATGGAGTGCAGTTATATTCTGGCACATGTGGAGTCTCCGTATATATATATACATACATACATATGCATATACACACACACACACACACATATATATACATATATACACACATATTGCAACCACATTTTTTATAGGTTGATTTTCCTGTCTTACCTTCTACACCATTAGCATAGAGGGTGAGACATTCTTTTTTTAAAATTTCCAGTGGCTATTGTGCTTCCTGGCAAATAGTTTATGGTCTGTATATATTTAACTAAATGAATGTGCTGCTGCATGTAGCTTGGAAATCATCATCAATTAATCCAATACTATTATGTTCCATTATTATCTAATTAAACCAGAACTATCATTTGCATATTTAAGAAGATGATTTACTATCCTTGTGCTCTGTAAGCTTTTCATAATATTAACAGTAATGATTAAGAGCTTAGCTAATTTGATCCTGGAGTAAAATCGATCTACGGAAAATGACAATGAATCACATATTAAGATGGTCTACGCAGATAACGTTCAGATTTGGTAAAACCATCACATGATAAAATGATGTCTTCCTTCACATATCCAGGCATCAAGGATAAATTTTTTTTTTTTTTAAAGTCTGTAAAATGAAACAGACAGAAATTGTTCATTTACAAAGTATTCAGGGGTTTGTTTATCCGTTAGTCTAACGTAAGATTCTAGACTCCAATTAAAAACCACCCACACATACGTCAAGGTGAGGGACTGGTGATTAAAAATAATAAATATATATCAAGGTCCAGAAATCTGACTTTCTTTCCCCTGGCCATGATGCTTAGCTGGTAGTTATGAGTGGGGTGATTAATCTGAGGTTGAATTTTATATCTCCTGAGCTCTTTTCTGTTTTCTGATTCTGCTTCTTGCCTGCTGGAGGCAAAATGAGCAGATAATCAATTGAGACACTTATAAAATAGATTTAATAATAGGTCAGACTTGCTGTCAGATTTAATGAGAGAATGTTTATTTTCTTTTTGAAATCTGCAGAACACAAATGTTGGATAGTGGAAGTATAGCGTGTAACACCAATATTATTGGTTCAGAAGGACAAGCTTGGATAGAAGACTTGATTGTCTAGCATTGTTCTGTCTGGTTTTATGGCCAAGTGGGGTCCATAACGCTGCCTGAAGAAACATCAGTTGTGAAACTTGGAATGTCTGCTGTATTTATCTGCATGACTTTAAAGATTCAGTTGTTATTTTTTACTTGTTAGAGTGTCCTTTAGTTTAAATATGCAGTATCAGAAATACAGAAACTATAATCTTAGTTTTGTTTTTGTCCTGTTAAGGTTCGTAGAAACCCCAGCTCATTTCTCTTGGAAAGAAAGTTACTACCGATCCACCATGTCCCAGAGCACACAGACAAGTGAGTTCCTCAGTCCTGAGGTTTTCCAGCATATCTGGGATTTTCTGGAACAGTAAGTACCAACCAAGAAATGTTGTATTCAAATTATGGTAAAGGAGTAAATGGGAATGGTCAAAATGTTGCTTACGAGCGCGTGTTTCTAGAGTCAATAAAAATCAGTTAATGTTGGGAAAAGGTATTCCCTTTGATAGGATCTCTGTGTTCAAAATTCAGTGGAGAGATCGTTACTATTCCAAGATGGTATAATTTTGGGAGGTTTAGGGAGGTTCTGTCCAATCCACAATTGTTTCCCCATTGACTTTCTGATACTCAAACTGCATTCCTTTGGTTTAAAGACTTTTGTTCACTGCTACAAGGAGCCCTGGTGGTATAATGTTTAAATGCTTGACTGCTAACCTAAAGCTTAGCGGTTCAAAGCCACCCAGTAGCTCCACAGGAGAAAAACCAGGTAGTCTTCTCCTGTAAGATTAGAGGCTCACAAACCCTATGGAGCAGTTCTACTCTGTCACACGGGGCTGCTCTGAGTTGAAAATAGACTTGACCACACCTAACAACAATAATAACATTCACTGCTACAATGCAAGCACCTGCTCAGAATGCAAAACACTAAATTTTGTTGGTCACTTGTACTTTGCCATGAAAAGGATTATTACCATCTTTTCTAACAGCAGGTTTGAACAAGCAAGTAAATTAGGGAGAAAGTGAAGAGTATTAGAGCAGTGGGGGCCCTAAGGGATAGGGTATAAAATACTCTCTCCCTTATGTATCCAATATCTCCTGCTTACCACCCATCAGTTCTTTGAGAGGGCAGGGATCATGACTCCCATTTTAAAATAGATCTTATATTTGAACTGCAAGTGGCTGAGCAAGGGGTTCTAACTCCAAGCAACATGTCCTGCCAACTTTGAGCAGAGAAAGCTTACTGTAACTAATTGGATGAGTGTGTTGTATTTCCTTCCCATACCTAACACACTTTTTTACCCTTAATTTTAGGCCTATATGTTCAGTTCAGCCCATTGATTTGAACTTTGTGGATGAACCCTCGGAAAATGGTGCAACAAACAAGATTGAGATTAGCATGGACTGTATCCGTATGCAGGACTCAGAACTGACTGACCCCATGTGGGTGAGTGGTGTGGGCTTGCCCCTTTATTCTGAGCACCAAGCTATCTGCATCTCTGCTAACCCTGGCTTTTTAGTGGCATTTAAGAAGGCAGGTGGCTCTGAGAGGTCAAGGCCGTTGGAAAGAGTCAATGTGGTCAGCAGAGGAAGATTAGGAGAAGCTGATGAATTCCAGGTCAGCCTCAACTCTCCGTAATGTATAAGTTTCTAACAGTATGTGGAAGGTGGTTGGAAATAACACCTTACATCCTTTATCTGAATTGTTCCTCGTCGCAATCCAGATTTACAGAGGACAAAACTTGCCCAAGGTTTTCCGACTAGTTAGAGACAGAGAACCGAATCCAGATCTGAGTTCTCCTCTGAAGCATTTTCCAGTATGGCAAACTGCTTCTACCATGGATCTGTCCTTCTTTAATTAAGGAGGAGGAAGTAAATTCTATGTGTACACAGGTTTAAGCATCTAGTAACAGGGTAAGAGGAAAGAAAATAAATAATACAACAGGAAAGGCTTTTCTTGTCTTTACCACTGAGTCACTCATGATTTAAGGCCTGTTTTTCATCTGTAAGACCTTATGCACCACACACCTCCCAGACAAATTAAAGAGTGTAATGGGTGAATAATTGTAAAATACTTTTCTGAGACTTTTAGATGAAATTCCCTTAATTTGTGCATTCCATAGTCATGCAGGCTTTTTTGTGTGTTTTATTTTTAATCGTTTATTCACCACCCAAGTTTTGTTGCTTTCTCTACTTAAACTTCTAGAAAATAACAAAAAAAAAAATAGCTAGAAAGTGGGTGAGGTGTCATGGAGTGTCTGCTCATGAGACAGTGGTTTAGAAAATTTCTTCTCTTCCTTGCCTGATATAGAATTTTACTGAAATTGTCGCTATATACTTGTCTGATGTAGAATGTATTTCTTATCATTGGCTTAAGGTGGCATGAGAAAAGGAGAAAGGAAACAACCAAAAATAGAAAGTCGTAACTTTGCAAATGCACTGATGTTTTGTCAGTAAACTGACAAGGAACAAAAAAATACACTTTTTACAGTGACTTTCCATTCGCATAGAATGCAGCTCTCAATTATCTTGAGGCGGTGAAAGGAAACTGACAGATAATTCCAATGGGTAGGTCATTGAAGGCCTTGGAAGGTACTATAATTGAACATAAATATGTGTAAATTCTGATTGGACAGTGACTTACAAAAACTGAAACATTCTCAATTCATTTAACAATATCACCTCTTAGGCTGATGGATAAAAACCAAACCCATTGCTGTCGAGTTGATTCCAACTCATAGCAACCCTATAGGACAGAGTAGAACTGCCCCATAATGTTTCCAAGAAGCAGCTGGTGGATTTGAACTGCTGACCTTTTAGTTGATGGATAGCACCTGATTCAGCAACCCAGGTTCGATTCCTGGCCGATGCACTCCATGCACAGCCACACCCATCTGTCAGTGGAAGTTTGCATGTTGCCATGGTACTAAACAGGTTTCAGCGGAGCTTCCAGATTAAGATAGACTAGGAAGAAAAGCCTGCCAATCTATTTTAGACAATCAGCCAATGAAAACATTACAGATCACAATGGTTCTATCTCTGTCTTTAGGCTGGGTTCTCTAGAGAAGCAAAACCAGTAATGTGTATAAATATATATATATATAGAGAGAGAGATTATATCAAGGAAACAACTCACATGATTGTAGAGGCTAGAACGTCCCAAGTCCGTGGATCAGGGTAGAGGCCTCTCCCAAGTTACACAGCTGCAGAAGCTGGCAAGCCCAAGATCGGCAGGTTGGAGAGCAGGGCTCCCGCTCACAGGCTGTGCAGATAGACGAATCCCAGGTTCGGCAGATAAGCTGACAGCTCAAGTCCCAAGAGCAGGAGATGAGATGACAGGAAGCAGCTGTAGGATCCAGAGAGAGCAAAAAGCCAGAACGTCTGCTTATATTCAGATGCGGGCCACACCCCCAAGGAGACTCCCTTTCATCTGATTGGCTACTCACAGTATATTCAATCATGGGAGTGATTACATTAAAACACTAAGAATCATGGCCCAGCCAAGTTGACACACAATCTTAACCATCACAATCTCTAACCCATCAAACTGATCGCATAGGACCGAACAGTGTTTCCTTCTGCTGTGCGCGGGGTTTCCATGAGTCAGGGGCCGACCCGACAGCGGCTGACATCAACAAGCAAACCTATCTTTTTACGTTCTCTCCAGGCTTCTCTGTTCTGACTCTTGGACTCAGCAAAGTAGACCAAAAATTATAAAGTTGAAAACGAAGAATTGTACGCCTCCTTCATTTATAGTTCCTATTATTATTTCTGAGCCTTGGTGGCACAGTGGTTAAAGTGCTCGGCTACTAACCAAAAATGTTGGCAGTTCGAACCCACCAGCTGCTCTGCGGGAGAAAGACGTGGCAGTCTGCTTCTGTAAAGAATACAGCCGAGGAATCCCCATAGGGCAGTTCTCCTCTGTCCTGTAGGGTCGCTATGAGTCAGAATCAACTCGACAGCTGTGGCTTTGTTTTTTTTTGTATTATCTCCCTTTTGCACACTGAAGCTGTGGGTTTCTTAATATACTATGCTGTTTCACATTTCTTTGTATTCTTAGAAATATTCTTATCTAGAACACTAATCTTGTTCATTTCCTCTCTCTAGCCAGTTCCGTCAACATCCAGTTTGTGCTCTCTTCTCTGGGAAGGCTCTTTGTATCACTAGTCCTCACCAGTCGGATTTAGAGGTCATTCCTCCGAAGGAGTCAAAGCATGCTTTTGTCGTGTTACTTATTACACAATATTATAGTTACTTGTCTACTTCTCTGTCTGTAAAGGGGACAAGAAGAGTATGTTCTTACGCCCAAGGCTTGTTACAATTTTGGCACATAGTAGGTCTTCAAGAATTGTTGAAGTCATAAGAAATAGGATTTGATTGCTATCTAAATGTCTGACAGTTCTCATTCAAACAGCTCAGTCCCAAAGAACTCTTTCTTTGTTTTTAAAAAAGGCGCATGCATCTTCTGAATACTAGAAATGTGGTTAGTGCAACTGAAGTGCTTAACTTTAATTTTAGTTCATTGAAATTGCCACATGTGGATAGTACAGCTCTAGAATATCTTTAATCAGTGAACTATTCTCTCCTTGAACAGTCAAAGCAGCGAAGTTTCCTGTCTCCTTCCGCCGTTCCTCCCTTCTGATTAAGATGTCAGTGTAGAAAGTGCTATGCTTTTCAGGTTGTTTTTACGTCCGTTGTTACCCCATTCTATTTGGAAGGACCCAGATATGCCATTTGAGCTCTAAAATTTAAGTCATTTAAAGTCCATTTTGATGTTTTTACAGAACAACTAAAAGACTCTCTGGAGAAAACCTAGTGGAGTATCTGAGTAAGAGCCAGACAAGTCATGCAATGATGTTAGAAGAGAAGAACAGTGAAAAGGGGAGAAAGCTAAGAAGGTGCATAGACGCAATCGTTTTTACCATAGATTTTTGTCTAGCTAAGAATGATACTGCCTTATGATTTTTGTGGTCGTTGTTGTTAGGTGTTGTTGAGTCAGTTTCAACTCGTAATGACTTTACATACAACAGAACCAAACACTGCCTGGTCCTGCGCCATCCTCACAGTTGTTGCTATATTTGAGCCCATTGTTGGCAGTCACTGTCTCAGTCCATCTTGTTGCAGGTTTTCCTCTTTGGCTGACCATCTATTTTACCAAGCATTATGTCCTTCCCCAGGGACTTGTCCCTCTTGATAACATGTTGAAAGTACGTGAGATGAAGTCTCACCATCTCTATTTT